CAGTATTTTAGTTTTACTTTTATTTATTTTCATACAGTACTGATCTGTCAGTACCGCTTCCATTTTATTTAAAGCTATCTCTAGGTCCTCCTTGCTAGATGCTAATACTGCTATATCATCTGCAAATCTAAGCATACTAATCTTTTGCCCTTGCACGTCTATCCCTACAGTTGTACTGTCTTTAATGATGTTGATGGCGTCTTCGATGTATAGATTAAAAAGTAGCGGTGGCAGTGTGCATCCCTGCCTGATAAACGAGTGGAATATATTTTTTTTTATTTCTTATAGTCAGTGATCAAGTGGACATTTTGATAGAAAATGCAATAAATGTAACATTCGACATCTTTGTAATGAAACTGATGTTTTACTGTCAGTTTTTTAACTACAACGCTAATATTTTTTATTGGTTGGTTGGCTTTGGTAAACAATTTCGTTTCTATAGTGCCAATGATTTTCATGTAATTAGTAACGGGGCGTTTATTATCGCCCAAAGTAGTCCAAATTTATTTCCGTTTATTTTTCCAAATCTTTGAATCCTTGCCGTAATTATGGATTCGAGAAACGGTAAGACAACAAGGGAAGAACGAAGGGAAAGTGAAAGAGTTGTTTCGGATCCGCCGAGCAGACCCAGTCTGACCAAACGCGAAGAAACTCCTTACAGCCAGTGCAGGACATCTCTGCACGACAGCAATTCGTCAATCGAGCAAAGGAAGCAGACGTTGTGGAGACGTCACAGTGGACTTTCACTTAAGAGGTGCAGTAAACATTCCTTAAAGAAGAAATATTCGGGACTCCAGGATGAAGGCAACACGCCAGCATCGAATGACAACAGCAAGAAATCAGCAGACAGCAAACAGTCTTCCAAGGAAGTAACCCCCGGTATTTTATCCAGAAATCCGTTCATCAACTTCTTACGAGAATATCGTAGAAAGAACAAGGAGAAACTGGCAAAACTGTCACAAATAGAAATCGTACGCACTTGTGCCCAAGAGTGGCGCAAACTCACCCCTAAGGAGAAGTCAGTTTACGTAGAACAAGCTGCTAGAGCTCCACGATCCCGAAGAAGACGTTCCAGAAGGCGTAGAAGTAGAAGCAGAAGCAGGAGCCATTCTCCCAATTTTAGTCCTCAAAGCCTTCGCAGAGGTCGCAGCAGGAGCCGAAGCAGAAGAAGGAGGAAGGGAAGCAAAAGGAGGAGATCAGGTAAAAGGAGGAAGGGGAGACGTTCAAGGCGTCGTTTTACTTTTTAGGGATATATTAAAAATTACTAGTGGCGTTCTTTACAATGTCGGGTAACAAGTGAGAAAATTTTACAGTGTTTTATCTTCTACTGATTTGTATTATATTAACGAATAAATTGTTTTCGTAATTAGATATTTTTTTTATGAAATGATATAAAATTGGCTTTAATAGCTTTTAATATTTACAGTTGTAGAAATAATTCATTTGTTAAATGTTATGTCAAAACAATTCCGTTATCAACGTCATGATCTTTGCCTAAAACGAATTTTACTATTGGTAGTTTCTTAATACACTTTGGAAATGAGGGTAGGTATATAATTCATTATTACTGAGAACATACATACACTAAGTAATGAGAATTTTAATATTAGTCCAGCAAGGAGATTACATAAACTGCTTGCACATTAAATGATATTGTTGTGGATAATTTAAAAAAAAAACTGATTGTAGGGGGTGACGACATGTAACTCACGCAAATTCACTTCATCAATTTAATTTAATTTGGACCTACGGCCAATTTGCACACAATAAATTGTAATTTTACTTTTTTTTTACTAGTCTGAGTCTTCATTTTTAAATATGATACTTAGAGAACTATTTCAAAACCTTTTTAAGCAGCTAGACCAATTATAAGGGCAAAATATCCCCCAGATCCAATTTAAATATCGGCAAAGAAATGAGTCATTTCTATGTTCAGCAAACATTTTGCCTTACCTGTGTATTTTCTGTATTCTGTAATCTGTTATTATTGAATTTAAATTCTGAATGTAGACCAGTCTAAATGGTTTTACATAAATAAAAAAAAACACATATTAACGGTGAGTATTGTAAAATATATTTAAAATACAAAAATATCAAATTCAACAACAATCTACATACATGTTATTTTACATTGATTTGTTTATTTGTCATTGTCAGCTGAATGTGGAATTAAAAAATCGATCAGTTAATACTCACTAAAAATTTAATAAAATAATTACCTATTTAACACAAGAATTATGAATTTTGTCTTGATCTTGTAGCGGAAAAGAAAGATAAAAGATGCATGGTATTATTATTATTATGTAGTATTATCATTTTTATTGCTAACTGCCGCTGATAGAATTGCACATTTCATTGTTTTTCTTATTTAACGCATACGTTCTTCCAGGTACAATGCTTTTCCTGTAAGTAACCTTCCTTAGTCTATGCTTGCTTCCAGGAATTCTTTCAATTTTAAATGTGTTATGCCTAAAAGAAATGGAATGATATTTTCATAGAAAAAAATCTCCTTTTAATAGAAAAGTACGGAATACCTGACTATAAATTCTGGTTGACTTAATTTCATACATAGTTTGGCTTCAGAGTAAAAATCAATGTCAGTTTCAAGATTCAGTTTTGGTTCGATCGAAACTATGAATTCTGCTTGGGATCTCACAAAATCAGTATCGATAACGCTGAATCCTTCAACGACAATTCCAGCCCTACGAATGAATAAATTTCATATTTTCTTATAAATATCTTTTCTTTTAGACTGAAGTCAATTATCACAAAATACAAAACAGGAAAATAAAGTAATATTAAATAATGGATATTTACGATTTTCGTACTACAGAAGCAGCATTTTTATTCCATAATGATATCGAGATTTTTCCAGAAAGATCGAATGAAACAGCCCCTTTCACGTCCAACTCTGCTATGAAACCTGAACCCAACCTGACGTATTCGCGATGATCTTGAAGTAATGCTAGTGCCTAAAAAGGTGTAGATTGGGTGTACTGCACATCAAATATGGTGCATTAAAGAAACTACGTAATTCACACCTTAGTATAACCCTCCTTCAGAGTGTAAGTAAATTTCAGTGCAACATTAGGTACTAGAATGGATAAATGTAGAGACACTAGCGAAAATAGCTGTCTATTGTTAATTGCTTTCCGAATTTCAAAATGCCGAATTTTATAGATTGATTTCAAGATATACGTAAGGTTCAGTCTCACTATCGGATGATCGAATATAGGTACCATTATTGGGCCCATGCCTTTGAAGGAGACAGTGGCAGATCTTGGATATTACGGGCCCGATGCCATAAGTTTTTTTTTGGTATAAAATTCGTAAATAAAGCACAATTTTTAATGTTTACCAGAAACGCATAACTGGAATAACAGGTCAAATGCATCTCTGGCTGAACCACGGTTCAATTTTGAAAATTCATTAAAAAGGAGCCGAAATTATGAATTATTTCCTTCAATTTCGCAAAAACACATTTTAATTAACACCCATGTCATATCTTATTATATCTTGTTACGCTTTTATATCATACAAATTTAAATTGGCTTAAACCACTACAATTAACGAAATTTTGGGCATCCCAATTTGAAAATGGTTTAAAAAGGCCCCGAAATTATGAATCACTTCCATTTCGCAAGAACACTTTTTCGTCAAAACCCTTGTCACCTTACAACAACGGCGTTTTTATATCAAATGTCAAATTGTAACTTGAAAATGGACTCATAACAAAAGTAAAGGACAAAACTGAATTTCATTGCATGTGGATGATGAGGATACAGGAACAGACGCTATGGAATCCAATAAGAAATAGACTAGATAGGTCGGTAGGGCACCGTCTCAGCCATGAAGGGCTATTCAGAGACATCAAAATAAGACACAAAGGCTAAGAGGAAATCTATTTGACTATTTTTCCCACTAATTCATGCAGGTTTTTAAGGTAATTATTTTGCAAGTAAATAGATTTAGTAGAATTCTTAGTTGGAAATAAAAAAAATAGTAAATTAAGGGATTAATTCTGCACTTTTAAGACTAATCTTCATAATTACATAATTCTGAAACTGTATTTTTTACTTTTTATATATAATTCTTATAAGAGAATGCATTTCAACTAAAATGGAATTAAAGCAAATAACAATACGCTACTGTTCAATAATCATGTCCATAATGTGGCAAGTTTCTAGGCTTTTCATACGAATTTGGACAAAATTAAGAATCAACACAAGAAATCGAAACTCTACTAAACTTGTAGTTCCTTCATTTTCTTAAAGACCTCATAATAGTTACCTAGTCAATAAATGCATAATGATTGCACCTGTTGTTCCAGATGACATGAACTAAACTACTTTCAATTGCTGAACGAAACGCTCGACAGAATTTCGATTTCAATCTTTCTCTTAATACTGTCTAAATTCCTAGGAAAAGCCTAGAAAATAAACGACCATTTGACTTCTTATTTATTCCGTTTCACAAAAGTTAAATTGAGAAATTACCTGAAAAGCAGGCGTCATTTCCGATGCTGTGCCACTCCACACATGACCTAAAAGTTCACCTTGATCACTGAAAAATACAAATGGACGAATCTGAGTTCCAAGAAGAGTGAGCTCAATACCAGCCGTTGCCGACTCATCCGGATCACTAGGTGGTTCACTGGAAATGAAACTACCAAGACCACCAGAGAAGATACCCAACTAAAAAAAAACATTGGAGGAATAGTATCAACAAGTCGTTTGCAAATAATCTCTGAACTTACACTGCATATATCTTGATGAGATTCATTCTTTTCGAGGACAATGTCGACAGTGCCCCTTTTTACAATGCCACTATCCATTTCTTGAATTGCAACCAAGCTTCCATTAGCTGAAGGGCTTTCCAGAAATCTTCTTACCAATGCTGTCGATAAGCCTTTTGGAGCCAAAATGTGGTAATTATTTAACTGTGCATTAGATTTTATAATATCCGCAACCCTCCGATTGAAGTTCTCATCGGTTTCACCGATCATTTTAATCCTTTGCCATAAATATTGTTTCACTTCGTAACGTTGTTCGTCGTGCAACAAGAACAATAGCAGTTGTTTTAAAGCATCGTCGGAAAGGTGTGACTCAAGCAACACATCGCATGCTATTGTCCTTGCACTTGAATCATGAACCTTGTCTAATTGGAAGAACGTTCTCCATGCGGCTTTCTGAACATCACCGTTCCATGAAGATGGGTTTAGAGTTTTAATGGTTTTCCACGCCAGCGATCCTTCTTTTAAAGTTCCCGTTTTTATGGTTTTCAGAAGGAATGGGATCAATGTGTCTGATTTCAGATTTTTAAGTGCTCTCAAGATAATTAAACGATCATCCGCGTCTTTGGAATGTTCGAAGCCATGAATAAGGATTTCTTCAACTTTGACCATTATCTAGAAAGATGTAGTTATCAGGTGTCCCATGGAATAACGTCTTTTGAACATTAAATACCTTTTTTGATGATTGCGTAATCTCAGGGAATTTTGAGAGCCTGTAAGCCATCGAAGAAATAGTTTGAAGAAGTGTTTCCTTGAGTTTGCGTGGAATATCGCTTTGTTTTAAGTATCTATTAATGAGATCATTTATTATTTCTGGGTTTGGATGTGCAGAGAGTGAAAGAGCCCAGTAATATCTCTCTATAAACTCTTCATGGTCTGGCCTTTCTATTCGTAAACTTTTCATTGCAGCTTCGTGGGAATCTTTAGTTTGTGCAAAGCCTAATATATCGTAGAGTTGATGTCTAAAACAGATTTCACGCAAACGATATTTAAACTATTACTGAACTTTGAATTTCAATATTTGCGACGACACTTACAAAATTGGTTTGTTTTTTCCAGACGTTAAAACTTTAGCAATATCTTCCTTATCACTTATTCTCGCGCTCGTTACCATTTTCATAAAACTTTTTGCCGGGCCAAGTTTTCCCAATAAATCGCCTTTTAAATTTTCTCTACAGTCCTTCAGGGCGTTCGAAAATTTCTTAACTTCGTTCAATTCATTTTCCTTTTCTATAACTAACGATTCTTGAGTGAAAGCAATTCTCTCTTGATTTATAGCTCTTTCTAAAACTTCATCGAAAGTATTTCCTTCTATAACATTCACTGCGCTTTGTTCTTTGAAAAGTAGTGTTTGATGTACTTCGATTTTGTTTCCGGCATTTTCCTTTGCGTTCAAAGACATTACGTGTGCTTCGTCAGAATTGATACGCTTTATTTTGTCACCGCTGGTGTCTATTTCGTAAGTTACTGTGCGGTCAGATTCCACATTTATCCCTAGCAACACATCAGGATTATAAACGTATGGAAGATCAGTCGATGTGCAATCCGTTTTGTACTTTTTCATAATCGTTGGGCCTGTGGATGTGTAAGACACCTTGCAGACACCTGACGAATCAGTTTCATTGCCTTCTTCTGAATCTAAAAGCTGAAACTAGAAAAACAGTAATGTGTTTCAGGCTTTTCTACCAACCTGGATTATTAATACAGTATCAGGGAAAGGTTTCTTTTAAAATATCTTGAATTATCTTTATTTCTTAAAAATCTTTCCAAGTTTGTTTAGTAGAACTTTGACAAAGTTGCAAGAAAAAGTATCTACTCCTTCCAGAGAAATATTAATGTGAAAATTCATTTTCAATTTTCAATCCACTACAAAACCCCGGCGGGAGTGTAACAACAGCAACATCCCTCATGAACTTGAGGTAGTTTGTAGTGGATGGAAAATTGAAAATGAATTTTCACATTAATATTTCTTCCAGTGAAGATTATGCAGTCGAATTCGTATATGTATTGTACCTGCATGAGACTAGCAATACCCTTTTTGAGATTAGCAATTGATAGCTTCTCGTTCTTTGGTAGGAGAATTTTGTTGATTTTGCCCTGGTTCCAATGAACAAAAAATTGCTTATTTTCAATAGAATCCAAGTTCGAACTATGTGGGATGAAACCATCTGGAGATGGAGCTTTTCTCGATTTTATGTACAACTGTGGAGACATCTAGAAAATAGAGAGTATGATTAGATGATTTAGAGCACAGATTCACAAAAACAAGTGACAATGTTTGTATATTTTGTCTGATTTTGTAGATTTTATTCAATTATACATTTTTTTTGCTTGGACATTGGGAAATTCGTTGATTTTGGATAGAAAATGAAACGCAAATGGAAGCGGTAAGGGAAGAAAATTGGCACATATTATGAATAATTTTCAACATTCTAATATTCGACGGTATTTTTAGCCAAAACTTTAGTCTTCTTGCGTAAACCGCTGAAGTCTACTACGAACTGTCGTTGACGTGCATACAAAGGAAAAAAAAAATAAAATTTGTTGTTCTTTTTGGTACTGATTCCTCTATACGAAGACCTTAACATTAACTTAATCGCTTTGTAATGAATTAAGTGAACGTAGAATGTATGTTCGTATATGTGATTCCTCCTAGACACTTAACAACTACCGGAAGTCTGTCACTTAACGGTGAATGTGACGGTTTTAAAAGGAACTGGAACATTAGATAGCAAAGGAAAGTTTTTATCACACAAAACATTTTTAGTATTGACCATTTTCAAGAAATACCATGAATTATTATTTATTTGTTATTTAAAGAGTGTTAATATTACCGATTATCAAGATGAAAACGTGAATTCTAAAAACTCAAAGTCTCCTTCTCCATTACAGACTTACATTATCAATTAAGTTCTGTTTCTTTCTTGAGTTACAGTTCGCATTCTATTTACTTTGATCGTTTATACTTTTATTAAAAAATACAAGATTATGTTATACATATTTTCTCTCAGAGTAAACTACATGTCACAGTTAATTTTAATATCAATTATCTCTAGGTACATGGAGTCGTTAAACAAATAGCTAAAATAAATGCATAGTCAAATAAAAGGTTTCGGAAATCCTAAAGGAAAGTCCTAAATTGAAAATTATGTTAAAAATTAATTGTAGGTACAAGAATAGATTATAGTTGTACAGGGAAATCTTAAATTGAGATAGTTGAAGCTCTGTAAAAATTTCTTTTCGTTTATGCCATCCATTTCTTAAAACCCAAAGGTGGATTTTGGGTCTATTTTAACCCTATCATTTCTAATGAAATTTAATTTAGCCAAGAAAGTTGGACCCTCTAATACAGATAAATAAAGCGACCTTGAAACCACTACTTATGCTTATGATACAGAAAAATATTTTCTTTTTCTATTTCCTGTAAAATATATCAAATCATAGCACATTGAAGACTTTATTTGATCAGTAAAAATTTGTGCTTTGTACGTAATTAAAATTAGACAAAAACTCTTGTACTGCCCATCAAAACTCGATGATCTTTATAAACTAAAGCTAAAATTTTAAGACAAAATCTATAGAAATATTAACTTAAGTAAATATAGATCCTATTTCGTGTACACTGGAGAACTCCCCAAAAATTAACCAGGAATACTACCCACATTTGTATGGTTCAGTAGTTGCTAGTTCGAAGATCTAAATGAAATCGTTCAACTGGATGCATGTGATTGTGGGATATGAAGTAGGTAAGTACCTTCAAATGCCCAAACATTTTGATGGTCCAATTCTACTGACATTTTATTTATTTCATAAACAACATGGTAAATATCTAGATAATGGCTCCCACCCATCGAAAGAGGAGGTCTCCCCCACCACTGTACCAAAAAAGTTCGTGGCGGTCTCACACCCATAAAAAGTTATGGGGGTTGAAAGTTGATTATTTTGTCAATTTTCATACACTATAATTCAAATAAAATTTAATAAAAAAATTATTTAAATTTTTGAATATTGTTTAAGAATGACTATATAACTATTTACATGCCTAGAAATGTATAAAAATTGGCATATTTATTAACTTTGAATCCCCATAACTTTTTATGGGGGTGAGACCGCCACGAACCTTTTATGGTACAGTGGTGGGGGAGATCTCCTTTTTCGATCCCCCATCATCTAGACCTTTACCAACAACGTTTCAAAATCATATTTATTCTTTTTAGTTCAGTATTAAATGATTTTCATTCCATTTTAATAATGACTCTCTTATCTTGTTAAGTGATAAAACATTTTTAATTTCTTACTACTCACTTCAAACCTTAAGAGCCTTTGCTGATCAGAACTACCCCATAAAACCTGCACCAAAACCTCTCCAGCCACCAAAAACCCAACGTCTTTCCCACTTTCATTTTTTTCATTGAGCAACACAACTGTATGCATGTCGTAGGTCCAGGACCCTCCCGGTTCCAGGATGTCGGCCGCGTTTCCCGCACCAGCGGCCGAAGACAAAAGTACAAACCCGTAACATACACCAAAAATCCACGTGAACACTAAATAGTGCGCTGCACACGCCGAATTCAACATAATGAACATTTGTATGTAACTATCTCACACACTAAACTAAAAACAATCCACCAGGCACTTTCCGCATACTTGTAATAATTGAGAACCATAAAAATAAATTCAGTAATCGTAAGTGTGCACGAACTATCAAGTTACATACCGCTGAGCAATCACTAATAGCGTTTCAAGAGTTCATAGTTTATCTTTACACGTTATCTTCGTTGTTGGTTTACTTAGCATAACATTATACAGTGATACAACATGTTGTTGACCAGCCAACTGGTACCCGGTGAAACGGCTTCGAACTTGCTATCTGGCGACCACGAAAATGCCACAGAATGATGACTCCACCAACGTGGAATGAATGCAATGCCATGCCAGTACGAAGAAGTGTGTGGGTCAATCGTCTGTCGGATGAAGACCCCTCTACATTTTTAACGTCGTAATTGACGGTTGTTTACCTTAATTAGGACACATTACACTTGTACAGAGTCTTTGTAATGTTTCTATGCCAATACTAAAACTAAAACTATACTCTGTCTTCGCACGTGTCCGATATATATATGACGATAACAATTAAATGTGATAATGTAATTATTGTCTTGTTGAGTAGTTGATAAATAGTACATAATGTACTTACAATCTCTTAATTATATACATACATATCTAAAAGTAAAAGGCAGAAAGTATATGCAAAACATTGATGTTACTCTATTTGGATTTGGATGAAGCTCTGAGCTCTGATATCGATAAGTCGTTCATACAATTCCAAATTCCAGAATTTATCGACGATAAACTCGAAAAATAAGTTTTAGTTAGTCTTATTACACCCATACCGCTTGCTGTTTTGTAACTTTAAATATATAATATCATTTGCTACTAAATAAATTAAAGAAATGTTATGGTAACCAGAAAGAGATAAAGTAGAACACATCAAAATAGGAATCAGGAAAAGTTAAAAAATATAAATTCGATTTTTTCTGAGAGGAAAGAAGTTTAAAAGAAATGTATATAGAGATTAATCATATTGTTAATCTTAGGTGGAAAATCAGAAAAAGATCTTAATATCTATCAACTGGAAAAAAATGTATAGTTTCTATAAAGATATTTTGAAATTTAGGAGAAATGAGTCCTAAAATCCGAACACAATACGGACTTTATCGAAAATTAGTTTTATCTATTATTACGGTAAATGGTTTGATAACAACGATATCATAAAACATAAATCTTTACTCTCTGGTAAAATAATATTTGGCATGATTTATTGCGTAAAAATAACTAATTTGCGTGAAATTTGTCTGATTTTATGGGCTTTGTTCTGGACGGAGAAGCTTTCAGATGAAATGAAAAATCATAAAACTCAAAATCAGAACAGGTCGCATCAAAATTATATATGGTTATTATTATTGGCCCATTGTGCCTCAATTAACGAAGAAAAAGAGAAAGTTGTGTAAATTGGAATAAAGTACTCTTTAAGTTGTTTTTGGAAGATGTGAAGTAACTGGAAATAGTGCAGAAAGATGGGAAATTTAAATTAAAGGCAAAGATGGTCTAAAAAGGATAAAGATCATCCTGTGCAGAAGAAAATGATCAGAAAAGCGAGCAGGAAATTCATGTGTAAATATCCTAAAACATTATGTTTATATAATAAAGCTATATATTTATCTAGTTATTTTCCATATTTTGCTTTGTTTATTCTAAAACATACAATGTAGATGACTATACTCTTCTTATGTGAAAGTTAACGCCATTAACGATATCTTGTAACAGTAAACCAATTTCTGGATTTTAAGATATATTATTTAAGGGCATGATTGATCTTCTTCGCCCTTCGTATGAACCAGTTTTTCCTACTAAAATTGATACCACAGTTGTAACTTGCAACTGAGTGTTATTCTTCGGAAGTATTACATACAACAGTAGCTGATAACAACTGATAAAAATTAATTTTAATATTACAATTCATCGTTCTACTTCTTCTAAGTCTAAAAAAAGGTTCAAAGAAAGATAATGGTGCTTGGTGTACACTTTATAAACACTTTCTTAGAAGTATTCTTGAGTTGAAGAACGTTTTTCAAAGCCCCTTTAAAATGTGAAAGCAATAATATGATTCTAGAAAACCACCGAGTTGTTTATGAGAGTTCTTATTTCGCAAATGAAGGTTTTAAACCTTTTTAAAAAGGGCTCGACCAACCCTGATCCCATGACAAATACTATTAAGATACCTTAGTTACCTATATGATTTGGCTCAAACTTGTATGTTTTAATGAGGTGTTTTTTTTTGTAACTTATTAAAACTGTCCTATACAAGTTTTGTTTCGATTAGACTCATTACTTCAAAATGATTTCTTTCGTCTCCTATCTTCATATTCTCTCTTTCCCTACTTTTTCTTTCCTTGCATACCAGTATTTTTGTTTGTCAATACCGTTTCCATTTTATTTAAAGCTATCTCTAACTCCTTCTTACTAGATGCTAATACTGCTACATCATCTGCAAATCTAAACATACTAATCTTTTGCCCCTGTATGTTTATCCTTACAGTTGTACTGTCTTTAATGATGTTGATCGCGTCTTCGATGTAGGGATTAAAAAGTAGCGGTGACAGTGTACATCCTTGTCTGACTCCCTTCCTAATATTTACTTCTGTACGTTGCTGCTTCAGCTCTATAACTGCCTGTTGTTCTTTATACAAACTAAGTATCACTCTTCTATCTTTGTAAGTCATCCCTACATTTTTAAGTATATTTAACATCTTGCCCCATTTAACATTATCAAACGCTTTTTCTAAATCTACAAATCTTATGTACGCGCTCTTTCCTTTTTCTATCGTTTTCCCTATTATTACCCATAAAGCTAGAATGGCCTCCCGCGTTCCTCTATTTCTTCTAAACTTAAATTGATCCTCCCCTAATAGTTCTTCCGTCCTTTTTGTACAATTCTAGTTAAGATTTTTGACGCACAAGAAGTTATACTAATTGTTTATAATCTTCTGGGACTTTCCCCGTCTCGTAAATGTGACTACTTAGTTTAAATATACGATCTCTAACCTCTTATCCTGCATGTTTTAGAATTTCCCCCTGTATCCCTTTTATACCTGGTGCCTTATTATTCTTTAAGTTTTTTAATGCTACATCGAACTCTTCTATCATTATGGGATAACCTAGTTCATCTACCTCCACACTATCTTTCTTCTATAACATATCTCCTAACTCATGGCGTGCGTATAGGTTCTTCAAGTATTCTTTCCACATGTCTGCCTTTTCCTCATTTTCTATCAGGATACTCGTTTCTTATATTACTACTACTGTACCCTACTTCTTTAAAATTCCTTTTAATTACATTGTAAGTCTAATCCGTTTTACATATTTCAAACTGTTCTTGTACATCTTTGCTTCTCATATCAATCCATTGTTCCTTAGCTATTCCATACTTCCTAATTATTTCCCTCTTTATCGCCTTATATCTTTTTTGTCCTTTTTCGTCTGTCCTGTTTTTGTATTTCCACCTCTCTTCTATTAATCCTACAATCTCGTTTGTTATCCAGGGTTTCCTACTTTCGTTTTGTTTAAAACTTTCTTTAAGCACGTTTTAATGCAGTTCCATTTTGTCTGTATCCTGTCCCTGTCATTCGTTTCTCCCGCTTCTCTTAGTATTTCGTTTGTCCTTGTGCTTAGCCTATCCTGTGTTTCGCTAACATTTTAGCTTTTCTAAGTCAATACGTCTCCTACGTTCCCAATGTTTTTAGTATTTTCACCTGTACTTAATAGCAATTTGGAAGTAATGTTTGCTTGTGTCGAGGATACGCGTACCATATATATATAATGAGAACCAAACACAAGGATATTCTATTACATACAATCATTAAAGGGTGGCATCATCTTTAAAAGTATACGACGAAGTATAGGGAAGTTTGTACTCCTTCAGCCGTCATTTCATGTAAATGATAAAGATCTGTGCGTTCTACGTATGTATAAAAATAATATAAATGCACTAATATGATCATAATTTGTGAGTGATATGAAATGAAAGGTATAAGATGAATTTTTAATTTGAACCTCCCCCCCTTTATCATCATAAGTAGGTAGTAATATTTTGAAAATATTTTGAAAATTAAAAACAATGATTATCGTGTTATTCTTTTTGTAGTGATTTCAAATGTATTACTAGAATTTTCATAAACCTAGTAATATACAAGGGATGCTCGAAATATATATATTTTTTTACATAAACCATTATTTTCAATTTCCAAAATATTATTACTTATGAAGATAAAGAGGAGATCAAATTAGAAAAAAAAAATGTGCTCAAAAAATCAGAAATATCCAAAAAGCAGTCCATCACCTGACTAAAACTTCTTGAATAGTTTAAGTAAAATCATTGTACGATGATTCTAAGAAATTAGGAAATCACTAAATAACAACTAATTCTGAAGCAACAAATACGATATTTTTTACACATTTGGTATATGTATTGCCAGTATTTGATTAAGACTTTTAATTATTAATTTATGTGCAAAAGCTTCACGTGTTCTACAATTCTTAAATTCTAGATATATATGCATGATATTTTAACTGTAAATGCTAAATGCCCAAAATAATTTATTCACTTAATTTTGTTAGTTAAAGAGCCAGTCAATAACCCATGATTAATTATTACACGGATTTTTAAATTTTATTTAATACATAGGTATGTTTAATTTCACACCTAAATCGTTATACTGTTATGTGTTTAAAAAAGATTGTTAATTTGTAAGAAAGAAGGTGTTTAAAATGAAGTCTATAAAGTAGCAAGTATGTGCTAACAACGAAGTGAAAATAAATAGAAAATTAGAACCGTTTTTTGTTAAGTACAAATGGGTTATAGAAAAACTGAAAATTTCTCCATGAAATCACCATATTTATTTCCATACGTGGAATGAATGCTTTTCTTGTTTCGACAGAAACAATTTCGATATCTTTAAAATTATTAATATAATCGAAATTAAGGTGGTACTAGTACTACTACTACATTGGATTCAATGGGTTCAAAAAAATTTAGAAAATTTAGTTTTACGTGGTCGATTTCACTCCTTAATTACTCAATCGATCATCATGAAATTGTTTAGACACATTAACAAGGGTACAAAAAAAGGACATAGGGTACCTTTTATCCAGAAAAAATACTGTTCCTGACAGACAGAAAAATGAGTTTAATGTGGTCATCAATGATCTATGACACCTATTTAGAACATCAACGGAGTTGTAGGTAAAATCTAGTATAAAATAAATTGTCAGTTGAACGAGAAAATAAAGTAGCATTTTTGATCATTTTTGACTTAATTTTAATCATTAATAAATATATTTTAAAAACCGAAATGAGAACATTCTTGAAAGCCAAAGAAGGTCAATAGAACTTCAGTCAACCGCATTATGCACTTGTTTATATGCCTACAAATCCATTTACTTCCGTTAGATCCTATACAGTTAAAATATTTTTCAGTTCCTGTATATTAACATAAAATTTGCAAAGTATATATGTGAGCATAGAGTGGAACATTCGAAACTCTTGCAGTACC